CCTTCATTAATTGATTATATTTTAACTGAAGTTCAGAAACCCTCAGCTGAACAAAGGCCTTCCCCCTAGATAGCTTAAGGGATATTTGACGATTGACAGACGGATTGGCAAACGCAATTTTTATTGTTTTTGAATTGCTCTCAGGTTGCCGCTGCCTAGCTTCTATTTCATTTTACTCTCCAGTATCTTCAGACCACCCACGGGATGATAAGAGGTAGTGAATTCCCACCACCACCATCCGACGTAGCTCTTATGTATATATATATATGGGTAAGGTCGTAAAAAATGTACTTTTTAAAAGTTTTGAGTGAGCCCATGTTTGATTGTGAATACCATACGCTAAGAAAAAGTATGATAATATTATTAACTAAAAATACGTGTGGCATTCGGTGACATCCACGGTAAAGCTATTGCATAGCATTTTTTATCAACTTATGCAATTATAATTATTTATTTATTTTATTTATGCAGTTAAGTCTTTGATATTAAATCAAGTTACACTTTTTGAGTGTGGTGACCGATAAGAAAACAATTTTTTTCTCTTATTGAATAAATGAGAAGTTAATATTGTTTAAAATATTTTTAATATCTTACAATACATGTAGGTTATTCAGGAATTTTTATCATTGAGTTAGCAGCTAGTGTACACGCATACGTCTAGTCGCACGCACACAAACACCGTGCCGAAGTCTGCCGAGTGCCGAAGTCTGTCGAACTGAAACGACGTTAGACGATGCACGGCCTTCAAGCCACACCTCCGTGCCCGTCGGAGTGGGGAGCGTGAGGTTTTTTCGTTACGGCGGAATACATTTCTGGATTCGGTCCCCACGCTCAAGGCCCGCGATAGAAGCTATGCAATAGCTTAATAAAACATTGATAATCATGTTTAGGATAATGTAGAAATAACCATAATAACCATAATATTCAAGAGGCTTAAACATAAAAAATACAAAAATTATTTGTCTCCTATCAACATGCAGGACGAAAAAAATGCAACACAATAGAATAATACACAATAAAATTTTAAAATTGTAGTTTACTTTGGAAGCAATAAAGATGCCGTGTGATAATGTATAAATTATTGCAATAATACAATGCTAGTGGAAAAAAATCTTATTCTAATTTGTGTCTCCAAAAATTATCCAGTGTGTTACTCCAATTCGATATGGGGTAGATTTTTTGTTTCCAACAATAAACAACATTGTGTACCTAATTTCGATGAGGCAATTCCGTAGGCTTACTGTCAAATATCAGTTTTGACATATTTTTTTCATTTGTAGTCGTGACCGTAAACAATTGTAAATGCCATAATTTAGAGCACAAATTTCGGGCAGCGTATATTTGAATTCTACGTGAGAATAGTACAAAGATATCGTTTACTAGGTTCCTGATTCGAAATATATAGTCCAGTGTATGTAAAGTTTTATTAAGTAAATCGTACATGATTTATGACCGGTATTCATTGTTGAGTTTTAAATTTCCGAGTGTGTTTGTTCCAGTTCGTTGTATACTACATTCATGTGTTATGGTGTTTGTTATTTCACACACTGGAATGTTTTAAAGGAGGATGTTTACATAACTTATACGACTGCGGTGAAATGAAAAAGGTGTAATGTTATTCTGACATACCTACATAAGAGTAGAGTGTTATACTATATCTGATTTATTATTACTAGTGGTCCCTCGGTAGTCAAACTAGGGCCGTTTTTAATTAAGAGGTCGTCGCCTTTCGTCAACTTTTCCACTCGCACAGGACAATAATATAAAAAATGTTTTCATGATAAGAAGCATTTTTTAAATTTTATTAATTGGCAAAATATAAATAAGTTATTATTAAAAACACATTTTTTAATGTGGCTTTATTATATTTGCATGCTGAGTTTATTAGATAAACATAAAAAGTTTTTTTAAACCATTTTATGAATTACCTTACCTTATTGAATTAATACTATATTATAATTCACCTATTGATTACATTAAAAAAACGCATTTTTAAATTTCAATTTCTTCTTAAATATGGCTCTGTGCGAACGCGAATAGTGTCAAATGGGATAGTCCTTATAATTAAAAAAACAGTAAAACAAAATTCTGTGGTAAATGGTGATAATTACGGCATCTGTACTAATTGTAAACTGTAAACACATATTTGTTAAATTCGTTATGTATTAACCTATTTTGATTAGTACCTACTGTTTTTTGTAAGCACATTTTTTTGTTAAAGGCTTTAATTCCACTGTGTTGTGTTATTTTGGTGTTTAGTTTCGCAAACATGCAAGCTATGCATAGTCTAAGATTCGTTTTTGTTTATTTAATCGTAATTTCATGAAAACAAGTAATTGATAATATTTTAAAATGGATTTTTACTTGAACCTGTTTCCAAGTGAACATTGACCTTTATATTATTCCAGTACGTTATTGTGTAATCGTGTGGGTTCCAGTGGGTTATTGACAATTTTTTACGACCTTACTCATATATATATATATATATATATATATATATGTGTGTGTATATAAGTGTGTGTGTGTGTGTGTGTGTGTGAGTTATATTCACAAAAATATATTTAAAAAGTTGCGCTGGATTTCTTGCGGTTTTTCTAGGAGCGAGGTTGTGTGCCTACCAAGTAAAGCTTACATGACTTTCTATAAGTATTACTGTAATCTATATTGACAAAAATGATCTTTCTTTCTATACGTGCGTCGCTTTCTATTTTTCTGTGCGTTTGATTTCTTTTACGTGCGTGACGACGAGGAAGCTTTCCTTGCGTGCGAATTATCCCTGAGATGACATGAAAAGCCTTAAATATTTTTCTGACGTTTTCTTACATCACAATGATATTTTCATGTAGTTACTATTAAACAGATATATCCTATTATAATCAATAAGAACTACTCGTACAATGCTTGCGAGACGGGACTGTACCGATGAGTCCCACTCACACTATCACAACGTCACACATATGCAACTTCTGTTTGTGTGCAAGTGTTTCATGGAATAATTCTCCACTGAAAGCCCTTTAATATAAAATGATAAAATAATAAATTTAAGGCGCAGTGTGCACTATTAATTTTAGTTTCTGCTTTTATGAATGTATGCTTAAATTGGTAGAGCCACGCTGCAGCTATAATATGGTTGTAGCAGGAATTATTCGTCTGAAAAGGGACAGAACCACACTCTCATTATATACCAGCGTAAAAAGCTTATTGCTGCTGTGCTTCTTAGGTTAGTGTGGAGAACTAGAGATCCTTTTTACTGGTAACGAGGAATTCTTTGTTAGTCGTTAGGGGCGACAATGCATCTCCATTTTGATTGTTAATCGAGGATAGAGTGACTAGTGACTAGTAGTGATAGTAAGTGACTATGAGCCACAGCATTGCCATTCCATAAATTTGGCTATATGCTCGATTGTCACCATTATCTATATATATATATATATATATATATATATATATATATATATATATATATATATATATATATATATATATATATATATATTGAACGGCTCCAACGATTTTCATAAAATTTTGTGTCCAGGGGTTTTTGGGGGCACTAAATCGATCAGTCGAAAATGTCGTTTTGTCCGTGTTTTCAGGCAATGAAAAACTGCTACAATATAAGAATGTAAATTTTGACACCTTATTAGTGATCATAATAGCTCAGTGGATATCGGGCCGTCGTGAAATCGTAGTGCCATGGTTCGCGTCCCGTCTACGGTCCGATTTTTTCCCTTTTTTTTCAAGTTCCCTTCTTTTGTGAGAAAATCTATTATTTCGAGCCCTTTTTTTAGTATTTTTTTTAAAATACGAAAATTTAAATTAAACTAATTGCACTCATGATTTTTATTCAAATAACCAGTTCAGTTTTTTCCATTATGTTAATCAAAAAATAATATTCATATTTCATCAGTATGTAATTTGTATCTAAATATCATTCCCAAAACACACGAATAAAAAAAATACCGCCTACGTCTAAAACGTAAAAATACTACCTGCTGTACTGCCATATGTTAGAGGAGTCACTGACAAGATTGGTTATATCATGAAACGCGCTTCCATCAACACATACTACAAGCCGCCGAAGAAGATTGGTCAGTTTTTACCATCAGTCAAGTGTAACGTCCCTCTGCAAGATGCAGGAGTGTACAAGCTTGATTGTGAATGTGGTCTCTCCTATATAGGACAAACTAAAAGATCAATTAAAACCCGCGTTAAATAACATATAGCTGATCTGAAGAGAGGGGATCTGAGGAGGAGTTTGCAGTCTGTGAACACGTACAGGATCGCCCCCGTCACTACATCAGATTTAATAGACCACAAATCCTTGCTAAAGAACACCGATTCCTTCCAAGGATGATTCGCGAGGCTATTGAAATCAAAAAACATTCTAATATCAATAGAAAAGATGGCTGGGTGCTACCATTTGCTTGAGATCCTATAATAAATAAAATTAAATCCCAACCCAAGCATACAACTCTAAGGCTTCAAGATACCATAAGTTCATACTGTGTAGATCGGAACAAAAGTTAAATTTTAATCTATGGTAACCGCTGTTAACTATGACATCTGGACGTTGAACATCTCAGTCCCCACCGTGACCATGGGTGCTGTAAAGCGCTCGAAACGTCGGGTATTTATAGTTAAATATACGCGATAAAATCCGTAAAAACTATTATTATTTCAATGTGTAGTGTTCGTGTAAATATAAGAAATCAATAAAATAGCGTTTTTTTCTGCTCTTTAATTTCCTCAACCCGGAACTAAAGCTCTCGTTTATAAATACCATTAAATTTTGAGTTTTTTATAGTTCAGATGTGATATAACGGTATCATCATTCGAGTAAACATTCAGTACTAAGCTTATAATCGTTTGAGTGTAGCTCGTACTTAAGATAACATAAAACGCAAAAGCCATATTTATATTTCCGCCAGTACAGAGTAGAGGTGGCTATACGACAGTCAGTTGTTCTTGTGTACATATAATTTTAATTTTAATTATTTAAAATGTATTGTATTTTGGCTTGCTTGTTTCTTTTCTCCGGATCTGCGATAGGACTAATTATTCGCGATGTTCCTTGCAATTTAGAAAATATTACAGCTGTGAGAGATTTGAACTTAACAAGGGTAAGTTTTTCTTTAAACTGAGGTGACGTACAAATATAAGTTTACCGTAGGCCACTTGCAGTCAACTTCAAAGAAAGAAGGGTGAGGAATAATATGAAATTCCTGTCATTGTACTGGATCTCAATATTCTTAAAAACGAAACAGATGTCCGCAAGCACTGTTCTATGTTTATAGTTGCTAATTTTACGCGGGTATTCTGTGAGAGCGTAGTCCTTCCCTGGTTGAACCGACGCAATCGTGATATAACCATAATACAGCAGCATCATAGCTCTACCATGTATAAATATTACGATATATTTAACTAAAACATAACAAAACCCTTATAGATAATGCATTATCTGTTATCTAGAACTAAGTTTTTGCGAACTTTTTGTAATTCGAAAAGACATGGTTCATAGATATTGATTTTATACGAGTATGTATGATATTATATTATTTAAGCAACGGAGTCGATTTAATCTCGTGGTTAAGGGAACGATTCGCAAACTGATAGTTCCGCCATTCAAATACTATATTGAAACCCCCCTCCCCCAATACAAGCATTTCAAGCCTCCTTGGAGTGATTAAAGGTACTATTAGTAATGTTAACAGATGTATTCTTTTTCGAACAAAATAAAAAAAAATAAAAAAAACTTAGTACTTACTTTAATAGTGTGTACGTGTATGTGATTTTTAGGGGAATGTTGATAGTGATTCCCCAAATGCCCAACTATATGTTATCGCATTTCTTTAGCCTCGTATAGACATGTCATCGCATGTACTCATAATTGTTATTTTGTTTACAGACTCTAACAAAAACATATATTTTTTCGCTATCCCGGTGAACTCATTTAAAAAAATAATAGGAGTGATAAACCAGCACACAGTAAGTCTTATAGTAAGCGGACTATTAGGCCCATAGACATCTGCAACTATTCTCGATTAAGAATCAAAATAGCAGATGCATGGTCACCTAATTGTAACTATTTCACACTGGTATTCTGTAAGAGTGTATAGAATAAGGGTGAAAATGAACAAGTCTACCTGATGGTAAGTGGATGATGGGGCTCATGGACATCTACATATATTCTCGATTAATAATAGCAATTCTAATGCGTTGTTACCCATGTGGACTAAAATTAACTGCATCGTTTCCATTAAATTGGGTCTCTTGTTCTCTACGTTCACAATCATACAAAACATAGCAACATTAAGCTGCTATTTCATACTAGTACGCTATGAGAGCGTGGTAATTCCCCGGTCGAGCCAAATCAATCGTGCCACAGCCATAATACTCAACTCTACCACGGATAAAATTAACTACAAATGTGAAAAATAACTAAAAGTGTCTTTAAATTCATAAAATTTGATCTTTACAAGTATCGAACTTTTTCTGTAATTAAAGATATGAATACTTTACGAATGAAATCACAAAGTTTTGTTTGCATTATGCGGTTTCCAAGACAACTGAATATATCATTTACAACCGCCATATTGAAAAGACCATTCTATATCGTCATTGACCAACATTTGAGAACATGACACGCTGACAATTTAGAATTTTTATTTTAACTTACACTGACTGACGCATACAACCAAATTAAGTTACCAGTGATGAAATATGGATTTGAGATGTGATCCTTACCTCCTGGCTGTATCAGCTTAAGGACAGTACAAAGAAAGCTTAAGACCTTCCAACAACGAGCTATAAAGTCACAAAGCTCAGTTATTCACCACCTGCTGGTATCATTGAGGTGCCATTCCATTTAGCGGCAGGACTTCGTTTCGCTTGACTTCGCATGCAAGTTTGAATTTTTTTCGAAAACTTACAAAAAACCGAGCATATGTATTGAATAAATACTGTTACAAGATATATAAATTATAGTATTAAATAGTATTCGAATTAAAAAAAAACTTAAACAACGCACATTGAATATGAGCTGTGATGAATGATGATACGAGATACTAAGATACTAGTTAGAAGAGTAGGTGAAAGTCGTGAAGCTATCGTATTGTCATCGATTCTTAACAAATGTGCTAAAGTTCAAATTATTCAGACGTCTAGAAGTGGTAAAAATGCCCGTGAATTCGTACAACAAAAGCTAACAGAACCGTGTTAAAAATCCAATATATAACATTATTTGTTACAGATGATAGGAGAATGGCATCAACTAAAACGAATACAGAACTCTGATGAGAACGGCGCTTGCTCAACTTTAACAATAGATATATCTCATGTCAACAATTCCACGCCTGAGATCACTATAATGCATAGAGAAATTTATAATAAAACAGCATATTATAGAAACGGAACTATTATCTTTAATAACTCGACCGCTGGAGTATTCGCTATGCAGTTTTCAAGTGAGTCTAAAGTTTTACTTCAGCACTTCACACAATACAATTCATTATAAGTTCTAGAAGAATAATTAAATTTTACACAGTAAAAAATAAAAACCAAAAATGAACAAAAATTTATTTATTTTAATGTTTATTGAGGCTTATGAAATTAGTGACATACTTTTCTATATTTAATATCAATTATTTGATCGTTTTAAGTAGACTAAACAATAACACTAACACAAGCACTAAAATGTCGTCTGTATAGTTGCATTTGAAATTTCGCCGCTTTTTTTTCATAGCGCTGCCTACCGGAAAGGGCAAGAAACGTATGGCTGACCTGCTCGTCTAATCTTTTAATTTCAGCTATGTAATAAGTTGGTATGCGTACATATATATATATATATATATATATATATATATATATATATATATATATATATATATAATATATGCGTATATATCAAGAACTCCCAACGTTTTTTTTTTGTGTATTTACGTAGTACGTATTTACCGATCCGTTTGAATCGTCAGCGACCGAGCTCTTTACTCACTGGCACTGCGAAAAGATGTTGCGTTTCACTTACGATGTTTTCCTTCACCACCGAGCAAGTAGTAAATAAAACAATTTCATTGGTGACGGCGGGGATTGAACAGAAAAATTTGAGGTATTGTAGTATAAATAACATGGGTATTATAATATAGATCAAAAACTGGTTGATAATAACTCTTGGGAATGAGTGATCGTTTCCCAACAGTTTTTAAATGAGTTTTGTATGTAATTTGTATAACTTGTGTTTTATGTATAATTTAACTGTAAAACTGTTCGTAGAAGAAGACGAAGCGTTCTTAAATATAGAAACCCATAATATAATTTAGAATAAATTTGTAGACATTAATGCGTTTTACAATCTTCGAATACATAACCACTTATTGGATGGGAATATAGTCAAGCAAGATATTACGTGTTCGTACAATAAGTTGAGCACGGCGTCACTTGAAATATACGCAGCACACAACGCTTTGTTTTCATTTATTTTTGTTGTTCTGAGCATATAATTTTATGACAAAATGAATACTCACATAATATATAAATATTTCAGATGTTAAGATGGACACTGTGATAGTCGCTACGGACTACTCGAAATACGCCTTATTTTATAGTTGTATGGACACTTCGGCAAATAAATCTGCTGGTGAGTTATAAATATTTACAATAGTTTTTTTTTTCATTTTAAAAGATACGAGTAATACCATTAACACTCCTAATATTTCTTTTAACCACTACAACAAACAAGATGTTTGTGCTATAGGTCAAAGGAGGATTTTGCGGTAGTTTTGCATGCGTATTCTAACGGTTAAAACACGCTACGGTTAATAATACCGTAATGCCATTAACATGACTGTCCCTTTGGTCTAGTGGTCATTATTGCGAATGCTGATCATGAGGTCCCCCGGGTTTGAATCCCGGTCGGGCCAAAATCAGTTATTGGGTTTTACTGTCAAGAAATTCTCAGTAGCACCTCGACGTCAGGAAGTTGGCGGTGCTTCACTCTCGTGCCTGGAAAAGCAAGTAAAGTCATGCCGGATAACCATCCGATTGGGCTATGACAGTCAGGAAATATAGAGTGCACTTGTGCTTGCGCATATACTCCGAAACTGTAAACCTGTCCCACGCAGATGACTAGTATAGAGACTTGCCGCCATTACCAAAATTCAGTCTGGAGGACATTATTATTATTAGTGCCATTAGTCATAATGTGTTTCGTACATAGACCTAGGATTACGCTTACGCTATAAATCTATGGTTTCGTATATAAAATATGGGATAAAAATAATATTATTCAAGATTATTTATATGTAGGTAAACACAAGTTCTAAACGATTCAAGAATATCTATCACACTGTGATATAGATTACATATTTCAGAACGGTATAAATAAACACTTGATTTTTCTCCAATGAAATCACGTACGAGACTTGTTTACTAACTTGCAACGTGACTACGGAGTAACGCATAAGTAACCGCTCACTGGCTGTTTCTAAATTTGAATATTAGATAAAATAACCTTAAAAAAATATACACTATATATAATGCCGTGAGAAGAAACTGGTCGGTTTTAATAGTCAGTAAATGAATAATGAAAAACAAATTTTGTGAAACACTTGCATATCCAAATCACGAAACAGAACAAGAAAAATCCTTACTAAAAGGCTAGCAACGCACCTACAATTCCAAGTAGTTGGTGGGCAGTGGTAGACACTTATCGTCAGGTGAGCTGTATGTTCGTTCGCTCCTTTGCCCCTCTACTATTAAAAATAATTACAAAAATATAGTTTGAAGTGTCACTAAGTGCTTGCAGGTAATAATAAAAAGTATAAATTCTAATTAAATAGAATATAAAATAATTTCAAATTGTAAAGTCGGTACCGTTACAGCCTATTAAAGTCCACTGCTGAACATAGGTCACCACCCCCTTACATTGCCTCACAGAGGCAATAGTTGCCACGCTTGGCAAGCGGGTTGACAATCCCAGTTTATTTTTTATTTTTAGGAAGACGCTGTTGTCCATTTCCTGATTTGTTTCCCTCTGCCGCAACTAACGGCACCCACAGGATGATATGGGTCAGTGGATATTCTTACACCGCCACCACACATATGTAAAGAAGAATTACAGCCCAAGCTTGAAAGTTATTTTATATTCGTTTTAGTAGTGTTACGTCGGTTTAACATTTTTATTATATTTTTTAATAATATATAAAGTAAAGTAACATAACATAAGCACTCACGCCTGTTACCCAGAGGGGTAGGCAGAGACTACAGACTTCCATTTAGCACGATCCTGACATACCTTTCTCGCCTGTTCCACATCCATATACCTACGCATACATGCTCGTCGGTTAAGGGTACTCTTAATTTGGCCCATTTTTAGTATATCGCCAATTTGGTCGACAAACTTCCGCCTAGGACGTCCCTTTCCGACTCTTCCATTCACTTCTGCAACATATATTTGCTTTGTCAGTCTTTCCGCATTCATTCTTTCTACATGACCAAACCACCGAAGCATTCCTTTCTTAATCCTGGTCACCGCATCATCTTGCAAACCACACTCTTCTTTTATCACACAGTTTCTCACCCTGTCACTCAGATTCAGCCCTAACATACTCCTTAGCGACCGCATTTCTACTGCATTTATTCTACTCTCGTGCTTCTTCTGCCACACCCAACTTTCACTACCATACGTTAAAGTAGGGACTAATACAGCACTATGAATTGCCATACGTGCCTTTTTTTGACACATTCTGACTTTTCACAATAGAGTGTAGAGCCCCATTTACTTTATTTCCTGCATTCACTCGTCGTTCAATATCCTTATCATATCTCCCATCCCTGCTGAATACACATCCCAAATATACGAACTCATCCACTTGCTCAATTAACTCTCCTTCTATTCTTATTTCACATACCGTTTTGCTTTCATCTCTTTCAAAAACCATCACTTTCGTCTTACTTGCGTTCACTTTCATTCCCCTTTCTTTTAATGACCTGTTCATTAATGTAACCATCATTTCCAACTCGGCCGCCGAGGACGCAAGTATGACTTGATCATCGGCGTACAAAAGGCATTTGATGGTCAACTACCCATTCTTAACCCGCATTCTTCAACTTTCAAATTTTCCAAACAGCTGTCCATAAATAGGTTGAACAGCCACGGGGAAGCTACACAGCCCTGTCTGACACCTTTATGGATGCCAAACCAGTCCGAGTAGACCCCGTTGATTCTAACACAAGCACTCGAGTCCCTATACAGAGACTTTAATGCCTGTATCAAACCAGCGCTCAACCTAAATGCGTTCAGCGTTTGCCATAACACATCCCTGCCCACTCTGTCATAAGCCTTTTCCAAGTCCATGAACGCACAAAAAACTTTTTGGTTTTTCGCCAAAAACTTCTCCGCGATCATGCGCATGGAAAAGACTTGATCTGTACATAAAGTAAAGTAAAGTAAAGTAGTAAAGTAAAGTTACAGCCTGTATACGTCCCACTGCTGGGCTCAGGCCTCCCCTCATTTCTGAGAGGGTTTAGGGCAAGGAAGTGTCCGCCGCGCTGCCCAAATGCGTGTTGACGAACTTCACATGTCTTCGAAATATTTTTTTTTTCTTATTCCTCAGACATGCAGGTTTCCTCACGATGTTTTCCTTCACCGCCGAGCACGTGGTAAATCAGCACTTAAAATTGCAATTAACAATTTCATTGGTGCCGGCGGGGATCGAACCCGGGTTACTCGCGTTCTGTTATATTTACAGCGAGCGTTAATCACTGAGCTACCACGGCAAATAGTATATAAGTGAGGTTAATTTTTTAAGGAAAGATGATTTCATCCTCTTTCATTCCAATGATTTCAACAATATAGGATAATATTAATCCAAAGAGTGCTAATATTCAGCTTTAGGCTCTGCGTCAACGCTTTAATCACAGGTATTTTATCAGTGTTGGGACATAGTGTTTACTTTTGCAGATAAAAATTATCTTGTTTCACTGTTTAATTAAACAAGTCGTCAAAGCGACTGATTATGTGGTCATGGTTTTATTTTGTTTGTATTATTAGAATGAGGTAATACACTTTACTTAACCCCGTAGCTTTCAATTCATAATCGTAGACATCCAAGCCTGTAGCAAATTTTAAACAAAGTATCGGGTGATCGCTACCAAGCTATTTCTAATTTGTCTTGTATTGTTAATTGTAAACATGATTGTAAGCTATTATTTGAAAAAAAAAATAGTCCCGCTGGGTTTTCTTGCTGGTTCTTCCCAGGACAGAGGTTTTTTTGCGAACCAGTGGTAAATGAAAAAAATTACTTTCAATAAGTATTGTTTATAACCTATATTGAATAAAAAAGTTTCTGTTTCTGTTTCAATAAAAATTAAAAATTGAATGAAATTGAATTGAATGATTGAATTGCGGTGCAAGAGTATCCACTGCCCCATGCCCCACACTTACGGGATGATTCCCGTAAGTGTCTTAAGAGGCGATGGGCGGGATGGCAGCAGCGTCTTCCTGATAACGACTAAAAATAAAAAACTGCGGTTGCCAACCCGCTTGCCAAGCGTAACAGCCATTTTTTATTTATTTATTCAAAGAAACTTACAGCTCTTATATTACATTTGAATGTAAGGTGAATATTAACAATACATTAGCCAGAACAGTTTCCAACGATAAGAATTACATTGCGAAAACTTTAGACATAATTAAATGAAGTACAAATTTGTGTTTGTCAAAGAGAAATGACAGTTACACTCTACATATACAGCAGAGTTAGTAAAGGTAATTTTATATTCATAGAAAGAACAAGATTTTAAGCGTGATCAACTTGCTTAATAGATGAAATATAACCACTTAGTTTGCAGTTAAATATATCAACATGGTTATATCGTTTATTATGTGTGTTGAAAGCACGGACTAAAAACCGATTTTTCGAATACTTAGTTCTGCAAAAAGGAGTAGAGAATACTGCGTTGGAGCGAGCACTTAACCTAGGTCATCTAAATGCAATACGACTTAGAAGGAAGGGGGAATCTATATAGTTATGTAAAAGTTTAAACAAGAACACCTGATCCCTATGTTCACGCCGTAATTCTAATGAATGATGTAGCGCAGAAGATCCTTAAATTTATAACTAAGTCTTTTCAGAAACTTATTTTGAATCCTTTCTACTTGTTCCACGTAAGTAGTATAAATAGGGTTCCACACCGTAGATGCATATTCAAGATGACTTCTTACTAAAGAATTATAGAGCATAATATACGTGTTTATGTTTTTGAAGTCCTTGCATTGTCGGAAGACAAAACCTAACATTCTATAAGCCTTGGCAGTAAGTAGCCTTGTTAATGTGAGACGCAAAGTTTAGTTTATCATCGAGATATACGAGTACTCCCAGGTCCATCACTTCGGTCACTCTTTTAATCAAAATATTATTTAATTTATAATTGTAAATAATGGGTTGTTTTTTTTTCTCGGGAATAAGTTATAGTATAACATTTATCAACATTTAATTATAGATTATTAGCCGAACTATATTCATAAAAATTGTTAAATCGTTTTGAAATAGGAAAGCGTGTTCGAGATTCTTAACGAATGTAAATATTTTAGTATCATCAGCGTATAGTAAAGCTTTTGAATGTTGAATGCTACGCATGACATCGTCATGCTATGTCAAACATCCCCCTATGAGGCAGTCTATGGGGGAGGCTCGTGTTCACCAGTGGACTTTATCAGGCTGTAGCGGTAACTATAATATATTTTTACAATATAATTTCTAAACAAATGATAAACAACACACATGCATTTATTAGCAACTTACACTAATACAGCTTCAATAAAGAAAAGTAAATAGTATACATAAAAACACCATAGATAAATGAATAAGACAACACATACATAAAATAATCTGATTGCATTAGTGACGTGATGCTAAATAGGGCAATGACTCAACATAATACAGTCGCACGGTTGCGGCAGCGTTGGTTTTCTGTGGTTATCTGAATAGTGCAGTAATTAAACATAATATTAATATATTAAAAAAATTAAACAACACGTATTAATCATTACCTGTGATAATTTTGATAAAAAAATATTCCATCCTGGTGAGCCTGATCAGAATACTAGGATAAATTTATAAAATTATTGTATTATCATCGGTCCTTTATATAATTCCAAATTTTCAAGTCGATCGGCCGTCTATAAGTTGGTGAATATTACGTTAAAAGATTCCATTACATAGATAGATAGATCTATCTAGATACACGCGAAGCTAATAAAATCGTGATAAAAATAAAAAACCTTGTTAAGGAAATTTTGTTTACTTTTAAATAAACCAATATTGACGAAAATGTTGTGTAAAATAACTCTTTATCAGCTAGTTGCAAGTCCATTGGCTATTGATTTTGTTAAAAATGGCCCTTAACAAAATCAGTAGTAAATAAAAATTTGTCTTCATCAAACCTGGTAATACCCATGTAGATGATAGCACTATTTACAAACTTTTGTGGCGTATAGATGCTATTTTCCTTATGTTTTAGTATTCAATTTTGCAATGATAAATAAATTTAAAAAAATGGTAGTCTGATAATCGCTCTATCGGAAGTGTATGTACTTGTATTATGGATGCATCACGCATAGGCTGGTTCAACTGAGGAAGGACCACAATCGTACAGAACCAGCGTGAAATAGCAGCATAAGGCTGTGCATGCTGCGCTGCATAGCGCAGGCTTGCGTACTAGCGTTGCTAGCGAGTGAAGAGAATCGGAGACTGCGGCGACCCTTTTTACTAATAAAGAGACATTCCATTTTAGTCCTCAGGGATGACAAAAGGCATCTGCATTTTGACTCTTAATCGAGAATAAATGTAGGTGTCTAAACTAGTCACAGTATCTACTTAACATCAGATGAACTGTGTGCTCGCCCATAGAATAAGAAGCAAATAATCATAATTTTAACATATTGCGTTTTCTTTGCAGTTTGGGCCTGGGTTTATAGCAGAAGTACTTCTTTACAGCAAGTCGAAACAGACACAGGCTTCCAGGCCGCTGTGAATGGTAACAGCGATTTAAAAAACGCCTCGTGGATATCTATTGACAATTCACTTGAAGCCTGTGACATAAGTGCAGGAGTCACCTTCAGATTGTCACCAATTCTTGCACTTCTGGCAGCATTAATCGTCTGCAAAGATTTTGTCGTTTCAAAATAAATGTATGTTACTTAAATAAACATGTGCTGTTTATTTACAATGTTTTTTTATTTAATCTTCGTTACCTTTTTTATTGCGTTTTTATTACAACTAAGATAATACTAAGTGGTGGAACATGTCCTACTAGAACTCGAACCCACCGAATACGCCGGTTCGATCAAGGGAGGATCATGGTCTCACAGAATACCAACAAGAAATGACACCTTAATGCTGCTGTGTTTCACATGGTGGGTGTAGAGAACGGGATACTCTTTTTTCAGATAACGAGGCATTCCATCTGTGTCATCAAGGATGACAACCCTTCCATGTTTAAGTAGTAAGTAGCTGCCTTAACCAACACCTTCTTTTCTCCACCACCACCACGGACAAAGCTCGCACAATTCAATACCTGTATGATAGACGAGCACACATGCTGTGGCTCAAAAACACCTATATCATCATATAGTCACCCCTCAAAACCAGTGCTGTATTAACCACGTATCAAGAGTAACAATTGCTACGGGCCTCGCGCAAAAGTGGGCCCCACGTATCCAAGCATTACATCATCGCCTAAGCGTACTTTTTTAAGTAAAACTTATTAAGAAGGCATATTCAATATACTTGATGTCACATAAACGTGAGAAGTTGCAAATGACAATCGGTAACCGATTATTTTTTGGCGAAAATGAAACAGAATTTCATACGGTAAATGCGCAAGTTTCAACGCCCAACACGCAGAATGGCTTGGTTCTCATACTACTGATCATTCGGAAAGATCTGTTTACGGCTTTGCCTTGGCATATGGTCTGACATAACTGGTTATTTTGCCCACACGGATTCCAGATGTAGAGGACCATACACATTTCCTGTTGGATCTTCTGCTGTCATCACATCCGGACGGCTATCAAATCTCCGTCAATGCCCCTCCTGGCTCTTCAGATCATATACTGATCCGGAGTACAGTGTCCATCACTTGCTTATTACAGGCACGATCTATAGGCTGCCGCCATGTGTGGCACTATAGGTCGGCGGACTAGGCTGGTATGTTGGCTTTTTTGTATCCTACCCAGGGAGGGAGGATTATCTTCTCGCTATATGATCCAAAAGTTGCTGAGTCTGTCGCCAATGTGGTGCTTCAGGGGATGGAACTTTTGATCCTGTCATCCGTAGTGCTCACAGGCAGCAGATCTCAGTATTGGTTTGGACGCTCCTGCAAAACTGCGTCGCGGTAAAAGCAGGAGTCCTGGTCCTTTCGTCCACCACTAGCGCACTCAAAAAGAAAAGCAACTCTGCCTCCAGGTCCTTCAAAAGATTTATCGCTAGGGTAAAGTCAGAGCACACAGAGAATTGGCGAGAAATTAGTTAGCCTTCCTTCGAGAACTCGTGCGTTCTTATCTCTCCGCAAGGCAGCCCAAGGGAATTTCTGCAAACCATCTTAGCATTGTCCTTGACTCGGTCACACCATTAATGAGAAAGCCGATCTTTTAGAACCTCTTTTTGCGTCGCACTTGACTCTTGACAACGGAGAGATTATACCGCCGACCATTCCGCGCTCCATGCCGGATCTGCTATTTACGCAACGCAAGTAAGGTCCTCTGTTATGACGAAAATACTGCAGCATTGTTTTTGAAATAAATATATGGTAAAGTTGAGGATTCATTTTAAGTACTATGTTAGACGAAAACACGATTTCATAAAATTTTCTCGATCGAAAAAAATCCAAAGTTACCTCCAAACCGAATTATAAACCGCTGGTATTCAAAAAATACTTCAAATTAGATCATGAAACTTTGCATACTAACTGAACTAACTATAAAGCAGGGCTTATTTTATTTTTTTTTTTCATTATCATTATTTTCAACGTAAAAAGTTAAAATTACCTAAACTATCGTCGTTTTAAAGTTTATTCTCTGTCGCCCGACACCGCCGTTCACTCTGTCTGTCGCTTACGCTCAGAACACACATTACGCAACAGGACGATGTAAAATTAAAATGGATACTTAGGTTTGCAGTGTTGGCGCAATTGAAAATTAGCGTAATAAAAATAAGAAGCGATTGGGTTGGCGTAAAGAAACTGGCAAACATATGATATCACTATACTTACAGTATTAGTGATGACAAATGTTATGTAGAAATTTAGCATATCACAGGTTTGGTGCAGTGGCTAAGCGATTGGTTGCTGCGCTACTAGTCACAGGTGTTTCTTTACGTGAAGACTTGTGTTTGTAAACACACCGTTCACGATTCAGGAGAAATCTGGCGTGTCAACTTTATGAAAAAAAGAAGATAAAAAGGTACCTAAATAGGTTTGCTTTTGTTTTGTCAATATTCAACAAAATATAGGTATCTATGTAGTAATTGTTTTTATAACATTGCCCCACTCCAGGATTTCTCCTGAATCGGAGACGGTGCGATTACAAACACAAATTTTCACAACTATCTGTAGGCCATTAAAATATTTGTTCCGTATGGGAATCGAATCCCGAACCGTAGAGAAAAGCCAAGCAATTAGTAAGTAATAAAAAATATAAGTGTATTCGGTAAGTATCTTCGATACTAAGTAAGTAAGTATCTATCTATCTAATTATAAAGAAATAAAACTGTAACTTACTTATCGTTATGTTATCGTTACTCCGTGGCTCACTGGCTTAGCAATAAGTTGCTACACTGGAGTCCGTGGGTTCGAATCCCGCACGGAACAAGTATTTGTATGACCTACAAGTAACTGTTCCGGATCTGGATGTTTGTCCTTGTGCAATTTATATTTGTAAACTGCCTCTATGATATGGGAGAAAATCCTAGTGTGGCATGCATATGTGCGTGCGTGCGTGCGTGCGTGCATGCGTGCGTGCGTGCGTGCGTGCGTGCGTGCGTGCGTGAGTGCGTGCGTGCGTGCGTGCGTGCGTGCGAGCGTGCGTGCGTGGTGTGGTGGTGTGGGTAGGTGTGGTGTGCGTGCGCGTGTTTTGGATGTACTGTCTGATATGGGAGATCTGTGTGGCATGCATATGTGCGTGCGTGCGTGCGTGCGTGCTGCGTGCGTGCGTGCGTGCGTGCGTGCGTGCGTGCGTGAGTGCGTGCGTGCGTGCGTGCGTGCGTGCGAGCGTGCGTGCGTGCGTGTGCGTGCGCGTGCGTGTGCCTGTGCGTGTGCCTGTGCGTGTGCGTATGCGTGTGCGTGTGCGTGTGCGTGTGCGTGCGCGTGTGTCATATGGATGTCAAACGAGCACACGGTCCACCAGATATAAGTGGATGCTGTGGCCCTTAGATATACATTTATCATCGATTGCTGCTCGTTGTCTTGGAGGTTGAGTTTCTCGTTTTTAGTAGAAGGGGTCTCTGGTTTTCTACACTCATCATACGAAACCACAATATAGCTGCATGGTGGCTCTACGGCGTAAAAAACGTGTGTGTGTTACCCGGTCCGATCGGATACCTTCTCCTGTAGAGGGGGAAAGGTATTAACCTATTCTGGTAGGTGATGTCATCGTCGGGATCAATAAGAACGTTCTTGTGATGTCTCCTGGGGGACAAAAAAGGAAAAGGGGCATAATTTCTCTCTGAAGAGTACGAACCCACCTTTACCAACATCGAAATTATATGTTCCTTAATCGAATCGAAGTATCTTTTGGATAGTTCCTTAAGATAAGAAGAGATGGTGGGCATGTCAAGATCGCGCTGGATATCTGCGTTTTTTGCATATAAAGGAGCTTCTATAATTCATCGTAGTTATAATATGTTTTCAGTTGTCCAACTTGAAATTTCCGAGGACTATTTGGAGGGATGTGGGCTGACATAATCCCGGGTATTTCACCTCTCTAACCCAAGGGATTGGGCTGTTGTAGAGGGATGTTGTACCATTCCTGTATCGTTTGAGTCTCAAGAGTGTATTTTATAGCAAGCTTTCATGCCAAACATGATTGCTTCGCTTTTATCTCAATTTAATTTGATTCTTCATTTTCTGTACCAATACAAAATGTAAAGGTCTGTAATAATGATGACGATGGTGTCACTGCGAGTTTATTGAACTCCCAAAAGTAAAGTAAAAATTCAAGAATACAAAGACATCCATAACAAACCCTTATCAGGTTTATAGCATTGAAAGAAAAAAATACAATAAAATAAAAACTAAGACCATACGGATCAGAATTAGTGTGTTGTGTGTTTCCCGCTTTCGATGGGGAATTGGAGATTACTATGCTGGACGTGTCAAGTTTAGGCGCTTCATATTGTTGGTCTTTATATTAAACCCATGTTGTATGTATTCAACCTATGTGTTGTCTAGTACGTTCACTGTAGCTTTTTTTTTATTGAAGTAGGGGCAAACGAGCATACACAACCGCAACACCAGGGGAATCGCAGGTGTGTTGGATACAGATTGAGATTGATAGAGATACAGATTCTGAAGGGGCTCACGGTTTAAATCCACTTTGCGGCTAACAGCGCCTTTACCCCTGTGCCTTAAGGATTTTAAGCCATCCGCAAAATTACGCGGTGTGCCCTTCAGCTCCGCCAAGAACGCAGCTTGGAGTGGATGGTTCCTCCTTTAGGGAGTAGGTGCGATAGGGGATGTTTTTACCCCTAAAAAGTTGGGTTAGTGCCCTGTAGTCTTCGACCTTATTGGCCGAGACCAAGATGGCATGACCGGTAGGTTTGTATTATGTAAAGTCAATTTTCTTATTGGTCTCTGTGATACAGCATTATCCTGACAACAAGTCAAAATTATAAAAAAACTGCGGTCGTACACTAGTGGTAATCACTAACCATCAGGACCATCAAGTCTCTTAAATAAAAAACTAGCCAGCTAAGCGTGGCAATTATAGCAAAAGTCCCCATATGGGGTATTCTAAGAGAGATATCTTTGTTCAGCAATGAACTTATATGGGCTGTAATGAATGGATAACCTGCCACATAACAGAAAAATCCTTAAAAACAAGCAAGCAAAAAATTTATAAACAACAATCATAAACTAATTCAAAGTTGCTTTAAGTAATAACTTCGAAGCAAATCGACAGACGGTATTTTAAATGATTTTGTAATTACCGTTTAGCCATTATTTCTTTTATAATTGGATTCGAATTGCTGACTGGTAGATTCATATCAAACTATAATGAAGTTTTAATACAACATGTATTTAAGATACGTTCTTCGCTTAAATATTTTATTCTTTTTGTGTGTTTCTAGGGATTACATTCCGACAGTATTTTTTGGAGAAGATGCTTCCTGTAAGTGAATTTTCTTGTAAGATGTACCGTTTATTAGGATTTCTTTTTTTCTTGACTGGCGCGTTGGGACAAGTCACTCTTAATGGAACCTGTAACTTCACTGACATATCAGCAGTGAGGGATTTGAATATAACAAAGGTAGGAAACAATTTAAATTTAATTATTTGAAGTTTTGATGAGATTTTTTTATATAACTGCTGCTTTGTTACGTTGATAAGTAGCAACAACCAAAGAAAACACCCTTTTTGGCTAAAAATTAAGGCAATCCGTTTGATCCTCATGGAAGACTACGCTGAAGGGCAGAAAAATTGTTAACAGTGGAGTTTTTTTATGAGCCACAGCATCCACTTACTAAAATAATTATTTAGATTTACATATTCGATTTCGCTAACAATGGCAACTTTAAGTGAAACTAGTTTTTACGGATTTTATCGCGTTTAAATTAACTTTTTAATTCCCGACGTTTCATGACAACTTCTCAATGCTGTCAAAAATTTCGGAAGGCATAAATAATAGTAGCGTAAGTAGACGATCACATCGAGTATACATAAAGACTCCACATCACACAAAGAATATGGTGGTTTTCCGACAACTAAGGAATTGCAACATAGGCATAAGACCTTTCCATGCTCCCTGTGTAGCGGTAGCGTACGAAAAACCCAACTAAAACCAACTATTACCTTCATCGCCTGTAATGCGTACAGCAAATGAGTGTAATAATTTGACAATATTTGTCTTTTCATCACATTACGATATGTAATGAAGACAAAAGACGCAATAGGCTTTTGTTAATCTAAGCTCTTGCATTGAATCATCTTCGGTTACATCACTTCTTACCATTTCTACTCATACTCATCTATTTGGTGTCGTAAGAAGCAATTTTGTAAATAACTCGAAAGATCTTCGAAAGGCTTTCTTCACTTTACATAGGTGTCGATCGAGGACCTACTTTAGTTAGGTGCTGGATACTCAAAAAACTATAATATTATAAAACAAACAAAAAAAAACTGTGTTTACAGTTGTCAGGGGACTGGCACCAGATCAGACGCATCATGAACTCACAAGAATCAGGAACCTGCTCAACAACAAAAATCAATGCTACTTTCACTAACAGCACTTCAAATATAACAATATCTAACAAAGAAGTAAATAACAAAAAGAAAATATACAGAAATGGAACCATAAATCTCAATAATATTACGCGAGGAAAATTATTCATAAGCTATCCAGGTTAGTTTTGTTTTATGATACATATATATTCGCAAATTCATTCTATCATCCATTTATTACAGCCATTCAGAAGTCCACTGTTGAATATAGACCTCCCCCATAGATTAGCGCATGGGGGGGGGGATTTTATTTGCCATACCTGCTACGCTTAGCAGGTGGGTTGATAACCGCTGTATTTTGTTTTTTAGTTTGTTATTATATAAAGACGATGTCGCCCATTTGCTGTTTAGCTTCCCCCCGGTCTTCTTTATACAGAATCTATGTAACGTTTACTAAAAATAGTCGCTTTCACTAACTATATATTTTTTATTGTTCTTTATGGTCACCAAACTTGGCAACCGATTTAGCGATAGCGGTGTGCATTTTTAGTGCTGTACTCCATCGTCGGTCTTGGTATTTTACATTCGGTTTAACGGCGTAACATCATCTACCAAAGTTTGAAAATTCGTTCTGGCGCCAAAATCTCCCTGAATGCGATTATGGGAAACCGTAGTCACAACTTAAAATACCTAGGGTTTAAATCGCATAATTTTATTATCAATTACCAACAGATTGATGCATTTTTAAATATACCATTATCAATATCATGGGCTGTAGCACATAAAAGTCCACTGCTGAACATAGGCCTTCCCCACACACACTGCCACAGTTTCCACACTTGGTAGGCGATTTCATCACCGCAGTTTTATAATAGTTTGAGTTGTTATCAGGATACGCTGCTGCCAATCTCCAGTTTTAGCTTGCAATACCCTTACCCCCGGGTCGATATGGGATAGCTGATATTCTTACACTGCCACTACAAGGTTTTCCAATTTTTATTCTGAGAGTAGGTAAATGAGCATGCGGCTCATCTGATGTTAAGTGACTACCGTAACAGCAACACCAGGAAAATCGCAGATACGTTGCTGGCCTTTTAAAAAAGAGTAAGCTCTTTTCTTTTTTAAAGGTCCCTAAGTCGTATCGGTTCGGAAAATTTGGTAGTAGTCGATTCTACAAGGAAGTTGTGCAAGGAAGAAAACTTCTTTGATACATTTTACAATTTTCAAAAAAAGGTTTTTTATTGTTCCTATTATTTCAAAAAAATGTTTTCTCTTGTTTCAGATATTGCCTACGACTCAATAATTTTAGCGACAAACTACACAAACTATGCGGTGTTATACAGTTGCAAAAATAATAAGAATGCTACAAAGAAGGGTAAGTGTTAATAGTGAGAGTAAAAAGATGATGTTTAATCTACGAAGGCGGGCAAGCCTTACTCTGCTGTTTAGCAAAGGACACAATAATAAGTTGTTTCGAACATTACTGCGAGCAACTTTTTGACAGTACTTGATAGTAATTTTTGACTATAAAGCTTATGTATACCAATAAAATATACATGTATACTTATACTACAAGTGAGACCGTCGTCGAACGTCTGCCTCGCTGGCCTAGTTGGACCAGTGATTTTACGATTGCTGAAAATGTAGTCCCGATTTTACGATTGCTGAAAATAGCAATCCCATATCAAATAGAATATCGCTTTTTCAACGTCTGTGACATGCCCAATGCCATTTTACTTCTTTATTTCAGTACTGAACTCACCTGCGCACAAATAAATACCTTGCTGATTAGAAGTTATATTTCTGGCTACTGACTAGTGGCAAATAATTCAACCTAAAATTCCAAATTACAATTTGATGTCTACAACACGAAAAATGTTCAGGATTTTGTTGCAAGAAGACATTGCAATTTACCATCTAGGGTTTCATTACCACTTACCACCAGGTAAATTGCTGTCACACACCATACTCACAGAATACCAGCGTAAAATAGTAGCTTAGTGCTGCTGTGTTTCGTATGGTGAGTGTAGAGAACCGGTGACCCTTTCTACTGGAAACGAGGAATTCCATCTTAGTCCTCACGGGTGACACCGCATCTGCATTCTGATTCGCAATCGAGGATAGATGTAGGTGTCTATAGGCCACAGCAACCACTTACCATAAGGTGGACTGTGTGCTCGTTTGTCACCTTATACTATAAAAAGGTCAAGCACTTGCCTATAATAAGTAAAGAAAACGGACACGTGCGAGTAGGACTCATACCCTAAGATTTCCGTAGAAACTTGTAAAACGTATTTGTGGATAGTTTTTTCAATCCGGTAATTATAGGAAATATAAGCTCTGAAGATAATTGAAACTAACAGACAGAAGAATGGTTCGTTCGTCCGCCCTTCTAAAGTGATTCTATTAGGGTTTGTTTTTTATTTGATGTACGTAATCCTAAAATTATATATTAACTAAGCGACATGTGTTCTCGGAAGTATGATGATAGAACATTTGGGGAGTGTCATACGACGATACAAGAATGCGACTTAGGGATTTGCATTGCATTTGTGAATAACCCCACGTGAAATCTTATATGTCTTAATAGTACTGCAGTTTGTCCCTGAAAAATATTTCCCTTTCAAATTTACAGTTTGGGCGTGGGTATTAAGCCGAGACACAACTTTAAACAAGAATGAGGAAGACATGATCAAATCCGTTATCTACATTAACGAGGATCTGAAGAACGCTACATGGATTGACTCAGATCATTCGAAGGAGGCTTGCGATGCTAACTCAAGCACGTCCTTCCGCTTGTCAATTATTTTAACTTCCCTTACTTTAATATTTGTATGCAAAGATATTTTATAAGTTTTTTGGAACTGTTTTATATTTTTCTCTAAATCACTACTTCTTCATCATCTGCCTGTGAAAGAAAGTAAAGTTTTTTTTTATTTTTCTCGATATTCTATCCTATATAAGCTCGACTCTGTAAACTCGTAATGGCCCATACAAAATCAGTCCTGGCATATTTTTTAGCATTTTCATAAAAATATAACAATTACTTAGGAAAGTAACGGTAACTTTATGTATATAAGAGGAAAAATTGAATTTGTACGTATTTTTAAAGTTATTTTAGATTTTCTGATGAATTTTGACAGTGGACTGTTAGGTGGAACAGGGGTCTATTTTGTACACGACAGGGGACTGTTCAATGAGACAGAGGACTGTTTATTATAGAAGTAAGTCATATTATTAGTATTAATCATTTATTATTTTATACCATATTTACGTATAAAAAAAAACAATTATATATCAAAATGTTTTTAAGAAAAAAACATAACCAAAAACATAGCTCCTCTAAATAAAAACTTTTATATCAAAGCTATGGTTCCAGAAACAATTTTTACCTGAGATCAACTAAGATGAATTAATTACATCAATTATTAAATTCTGTACGCAGTCTTTTATAAAGTACTAATAATAACATTATAACACAATAGTGTTTCCTCTCAATAATAGTAAGTAAGTAGTTATAATTAAAGTAATTTCAAATGAGATCTAGAATAAAGATTTAAGGCATTTTCTTAAAACTAATAAGGCACATACATAATCACAATAAGCTTAGTTTAACATTAGAAAAATTTACATGAGCGCTTGAAAACATATACTTGAGTGAAGAACTTATAACATGTTCTCTTCCCTTTTAGAATCAAGTTAGGATTATCCAACTTTTGGGTAACTTGATCAAACATCACGTCTCAAATGTCCCTATCATTTATTTTAAAGGTCTGCACCTTCGTATCACAATTCTTTAGAAAAGTAACCCGTAAGTAATAATAAATCTCTATAAATCTACCATTGGATAAAGACCCTTTTAAACTGCATGAAATAAGAGCATGTGAGCTTCAAAAGTTTACCAATACTCATTACAATTAGCAGACTCGTTATTAAGCAACGATTACCCATTGTCAGTCCACAAAGTCTTCTGGATCGGTTAGCAAGATGTACCGCGTGTAGAGGTAGTCGCTTACACCTTCTATTACTTTAATAAATATAAGTATACTTTATGACTACCATGGTCTAGTGGTCATAAGTGCGACTGCTTATTATGTGGTTGCGGGTTTGAATCAAGTTGGCGGTGTTTTAGAGTTGGAAGGAAATAGAGTGTCAAGTGAGAGTCAAGTGGTGGAGTGCTGGTGTCATATAAATGATTAGAGTAAATAATATGGTAACCAAGTTAATTATTTTCTTATAAGTTCTTCCGCAATCCTTATCTTTATTTCTATTGATTATATATCAACAATAAGATGCTTTTAAAAATAATTCGCGTACCAATCTCTTACTATACCGTATTTTTAATGTCATCGGGCAAGGAGTTCCACATAAGTGTAGCCCGAATCGTAAAGGATTTACCAACGAAAATTTTGTGGGAACTTATTTTATAAAAGACTAGGAAAGCAGAGTTATATCATGTGTTGTAGAAATATATTGAACTTTGTCCTTGAGATAAGAAGAAGTGAATGGATTATTTTAAGATAGAGAAGAGATATACTATAGAGAAGAGATATATTACCCAGTAGGTGGCGCTGTGGTCGAGATCCAAACTTACCCGTTCACAGTCGGAGCGATCGCTACTTTAATATTAGTGTGCGTGTGTGTAGATTTTATAATGGTATTTTGTATTGTGTACTTAAAATATATATAACATTTGTTTTTCTTTTTATTATAAGTTATTTTTTTTCTTCATTGTGAATTAATAAGCAGGCTTTTTTCTAAAAACAAACTACATTTTTTATATTTAGTAATAAAATTCAACGAAGTATCATGTTCATGTCACGTAAACGACCTCTTTTACGTGACATAGTCTTGATATCAGTTTTGGTATTACATACGTGTTTTTTAAATAAGCCTGTCTAGGATTTTTAACCATGTAGTGGTGGTATAAAAATATCCACTACACCGTACCGTCCCGTGGAAGTAGAAAGGGGGCTACAGAGGAAACAAACCAGGAGATGGGCAGCAGGGCAGTGTCTTCCTAATAATAACAGAACAGAAGCTGTGTTTGCCAACCTGCCTGCCAAACTTTACCAACTTAGCCAAATATTCCCAATTTTAGCAGTGGGCTTTGTTAGACTGTAACGGTGAAAAAATTATAAATATAATGCGATTGACCCCGAATCTCACACAAAAACAATTATAAGGATTTTTTTTCTAAAGAAATCTACTTTCAATCAAACTAATACAGTCAACCTGATGTTAAGTTGATACCGCGGCCCATAGACATCTGCATCTATCAAAAGGCAGACCCGTGAGGACTCAGATGGAAAGCTTCGTTAACAGTAAAAGGTGTTTTCCATTCTCTACAGCAGCACCTTTATTCGCCATCCTACCTGATGTAGGATCTGTTGGCGAGCCCTGTTGTTGAAAAGAAAACTGTTGAGTTTTGTTAAGCTGTTTTTAATTAATGAATAAAAGAAAAATTGTTTCAGGTAAAACGTATAATACAAAATCAGGTAATATTTTATGACTCAGTATACGCCTATTCCAGGCAAGGACAAGTGCCTACTCAAAACAAACAATAGATAGGACACACTATCACAAACTTGAGCGCGATAACCACTGTCGACGTGATACCAATTTATACACAGCCCCTATATTTGCGTAACTTATATACAGTAATGACTAATCTATATTTATAGAAGTGAAACATGAAAAATTATATTTTAAACATCATATTTGTATCTATATATTTATATTATTTACAAGTTCAAAGATTAAAACAATAATTTAAAAAAACAGGACTACATAAAATAGTTTTTTATATATTCAGGGTGACAAACGAACACACAGTCTGCTTGATTTTAAATGAATGCTATGGCCCATAGACATCTACATTTACTCTCAATTAAGCGTCAAAAACCTATATCCTCAATAAAGAATGTAAAGCTATTTTACACTGGTATTCTTTAGGAAAGTGGTACTTCTTGGTCGAGCCAACACATCATATCATACTTGCAGCATTGCTCTACCAAGTAAATTTAACTACAAATGAAAAACGCTGCAGACGCGTTGTTAATAGTGTTGCCCAAATGCAAGAACAAGACGAGGCTTAGCCAGTCTTAGTATTGGTCTTGCGCCAATACACATGGTCTTGTTCTTGGTCTTGGTATTGCGCTCTCAGTCTTGTTCTTGGTCTTAGTTTTGCAGCAAGAGTCTCGCAAGTCTCGCAATTACCTATTAGCCTATTGTTATTTATTAAACGTTACTTTAAATCTTAGAACAACTTAACAGAGTTGGCACATTTTGAGCTTGAATTAACATAGCCATAGAAAGACCAACCAAATTAATAAATGTCTAAACATTTAATGAGAAATTCGAAAAATCAACTAATACCGGGTGGGGTTTGAACCCACGACCTAAGCGATCCGTGCCGATGCTCTAACCAACTGAGCTGTCTACCAAGTCTCACAGCCACGGGAATTAGTCTGTTTCTTAATAAACGTTTACATTTAATAAGCTTACATGTGCTAAAACTAAGTCAAAAATCGAGATTTGCAGTAAACTTATTGAACATGTTTATCTGTTAGGTAATAATAATAATAGTAAGTAATTATTATAAACCCATATAGTTAATATTATAATAATTACTTACTAGAATAAATTATTATGGTATCTACCTATCCTTACCATTATCTAATTACAATATTCCTTGCGAGATCAGCATAATGTACTCGTGTCCATTCTGAGCACCCGGAAACTTATTTTATTCTTTGGAACATGTACTCTGTGGCGGCATTCAAACAGTGTCAAATGTAGTGCATGCGGTGCGGCGGCCCGCACCTTGTACTTCCGAATAGCTGCAAAATTTCTTTGACAGGTCAGTATTCGACGTTTGATGATGCCGACAAGACGCCGCGCACTATCAAAGTGCCGATGGTCAAAACTAGGGATGCTCTGTTTTTTTTGTCTTAATGGATATTTTCATCCGCTATGTATGTTTATGGTATTGTTCGTAATGCGCATAAGTTCAATTTTCCAAAAATTTTTTATATATTTTTTGTGTCTCATAGAATCCCTAAGTGTATACCCGAACTCCTATACTCCCTGAAATGACACTCATTCCTAAATGCAAGACGCAAGAGTCTCGCAGGCTTAATCTTGTACTTGCTCAAATCTTGCATGGTCAGTCTTGGTCTTGGTCTTGCTAAAATTAGGCGGTCTTGTTCTTGGTCTTGATCTTGCCAAAATGCAAGAACAAGACCAAGACTGCAAGACCAAGACCGATTTTGGGCAACACTAGTTGTTAAGTGCCTATACTACATCAGCTCAAATCCTAATTTCGGCCCCACTTCTCCACGCGTCGTATGCTATGTACCGACATGTTTGCAATCACTAATACTGTAAGTAGATAGGTCGTTAGATACTTATTTCATCAGGTTTTTCATCTTTATGCCTGTTTTCTTACGCCAACCCAGTCGGTTCTTGTTTTTATTACGGTTATTTCCTATTTTAATTTTACGTCGTCCTGTTGCGTAATGTGTATTCTGATCGTAAGCGGCACAACACTCCCATTTTTAAAAGCCGAAGCGAGACTGAACTTCGAGGTATATATAATGTACACTGTGGACTGAGCGGGGGTATCGGGCGACAGAGAACAAGCTTCAGGAGGCCGATAGTTTAGGTAATTTCTTTTTACAGTGAAAATAATGGTAATTAAAAATATATAAGCCCTGTTTTATAGATTCATGATCTAATCTAAAGTATATTGAAAATACCAGCGGTTTATTGTTCGGTTTTTAGGTAACTTTAGATTTTTTTTCTATTGAGAAAATTTTCACGGAATCGTGTTTTCGTCTAACATTTGTTTC